ACTCCAAATGTGCACTTCGCCGGGTTCAGCTTCATTTGATATTTATTGAGAATATCAAAACATTCCTCCAAATGCTTAACATGATCTTCTTTCTTCAGCGATTTAACCAACATATCATCTATGTAGACTTCCATAGTCTTCCCGAGGTGATTGTGAAACATTTTGTTCACCAACCGTTGGTAAGTCGCTCCTGCATTTTTCAAACCAAAAGGCATTACCTTGTAACAGTAGATACCTCTATCTGTGATAAATGACGTCTTTTCTTGATCATCGGGGTTCATCATTATCTGATTATAACCCGAGAAGGCGTCCATGAACGTTAACAGCTCATTTCCAGCGGTGGACTCTACAAGTCGATCTATATGCGGGAGCGGGAAACTATCTTTGGGACATGCTTTATTTAGGTCTGTAAAGTCGATATAAACCCTATCTTTCCCATTCTTTTTCTTGACAACGACAGTGTTTGCTACCCACTCCGGATATTGCACTTCTCTTATGGACCCTATCTTCAAGAGTTTATCCACTTCGTCGTTTACTATTTTTGCCCGCTCGACTCCAAGCTTTCTTCTTTTTTGTTTCACCGGTTTGAAGCTTGGATCTACGTTTAGTTCATGACAAATTATACTCGGATTTATACCCGGCATATCCGCTGCTGACCATGCAAACGACGCTTTGTTTTTCCTTAAGAGTTCGATCAAAGCTTCTTTTATTTGGCCAGTCAAGGTTGCTCCAATTCTAATTTTCCGGTCCGGCTTGTCTTCTTCCAGTGCCACTTCGACTACCACATCCTCTTTCTTCTGCCCACTAGGAAATTTGGTTTTTAGTCTTTCTTTTGCGGGCTTCGTTAATTGCTATTGAATTTTCATACGGTGGCTAGTTAAGTAACAAGTTCGTGAAGCTTCTTGATCTCCCCGAATTGTTTCCACCCCATTTGATGTTGGAAATTTGATACATTGATGGTACGTAGAGGGGACTGCTTTCATTCGATAAATCCAGGGAGTCCCGAGGATGATGTTGTAAGCAGCGGGCTTATCGAAGACAACGAAGTCCACGATCTTCGATACCTTCTTGGCAAGGACCGGTAGCTTGATTGTTCCGAGAGACATGGCTGACTCGCTTGTGAATGCAACTAACGGAGATGGGGGTCCTACTATGTCTCCTCGGCTGATTCCCATTTTTTCTAGAGTACTTAAAAAGATCAAATCGACCGAACTGCCTGTATCTATAAGGATCCTCGATACTTCGAAGTTGGCGACATCAAGGGTAATGACTAGGGCATCGTCATGCGGTCTTTCGAGATGCCGCGTTTCTTCTTCGTTAAATGATATTGAAGCACCTTGAAAATCAATTTCTTCACTCAAGCTTGCTTTGAGTAAGACATTTCGTCTATGTTTTTTGATGGAACTTATTGAATCTCCGCAAAATCTGGAACCTCCTAGAATCACATTGATCCTCCCCTTCGAACTTCTCGGTTCTTCCTCGTTGGATAACCTTGGTCTTTTGGAATCTTGATCTTTGGAGTTTTCCTTTGCTTCGTGGTATTCCTTCACAAAATCTTTTATATCGAATTTAGAAAGATCACCACCAGCCCAAAGCTCTGCGAGGTGCTTTTTAAGAACGCTGCAATCCTTGGTTAAATGTCCGGTTACTTTATGAATGTCGCAATATAGACTTTCATCACGGACCCAAGTATTTGATCTTCCTTTCCCTTGGAATTGCTTCCCGACGGAATTGTTGAAGGATTGCGACCCAAACTTCCTTGGTCCTTTGCTCTCTTTAGGCTCGAACTTCTTGGTAGGGACGGTGATTGCCGGCTTTTCTTGTTTATTCCGTTTGGCAAAACTTTCTTTTTCGTCTTCTACCTCCATCCAATTGTTTGCGCGGAAGAGTGCATCCTGAATTGTGTCTGGTTTATGAAGTATTAAGTCTTCTTTAAACCTTGAATCATGTCGCAACCCTTTTCGTAGGGCAGATAAAGCCGATTGCTGGGAGATTCTTGGGAGTTTTGACAGCACTCCCTTGAATTTGGTGATGAAAACTCGAAGTGACTCATTAGATCCTTGCGTTAAGTTCCAAAGATCGGCATCCGAAACGCTTTTATCCATAAGGATAGAGTATTGCTTTAAGAATACGGCTGACAGTTCGTCGAAATTGCTGATCGAACCCGGCTCTAATTGGGTGAACCACATTAGAGCTTGGCCACATAGATTCTCCGAAAACAGCTTGCAATAGCCTGCGTCCTCATCAGCTTCATCCAACTCGACTCTTCCTGCGGCGATCAGAAAGGCTGCAAGATAGCTTTTTGGATCCTCCAACCCGCTGTAAGGGTCCAACTTGAGCTTCCGGGAATCCTTGATCCTCAAACTTGCGATTCGCGGGATAAAAGGGGTTCGCCTAGCTTCTTCAATGACTCGATTGATGTCTGGCTCCGAACTTGTAGCCTGATGAAATTTTGATTTCATTTCTTTTAATTCCTGGCTAACCTTCCTCATGGTCTCGAACTGGTCGAGGTTCTCCTGCTCGTACTGAGCTGCAAGATGTTCTTCATCCCCAAGCTGCGTCTCTTCTTCCGACGTCTGAGCTACATTATTAGTAGCACCGGGAGTTGTTTGTCCGCTGGTTTCATTTCGTGCAGCGGAATTTGGCGAGTTGAATATCCCTCTTCGGGTTCCCACCGGGTTTCCTGCACTTAAAGAGCGAACACGAGTTTGTATATTATTGACATTTTCACTAAGAGATACCTGGGATGTTTGCAACGTATCGACGGCCTTCTCCACATCCGAGAATTTTTGTGATATGTCTGACATGGTTTGCTGCATAGCTTTGAGGGTTTCGGCCAATGATGTCTCAACGGCGTCTCCTCCAGACATTGTCGCTTATCTCGGAAATGTAGAAAAGAAGAAATCTGACCACTCAAGAATCCTGAGTTCCCCACAGACGGCGCCAAAATGTGGATGTCGGATTCACACACTCAAGTATTTTGTTAAGTGGGAAAGATTATTCTTGAGGGACAAAAATAAATATGTCAAAGACCCGTAAATTGATACGAAAATTGCTATATTATTTCTCTCTTGAGAGGGCGATCCCCTTTACATGGCCATTGGCCTCTATATTTATACATCGCTAAACGACATTTAAAATGAGTAATTAAGTACAATTATTCCTTCTTAAATGTGTCCGTTTTGATTCTTCGGCTTTAATGCTCAACGTTTGAATTTGAGTTGACTCTGATCTTCATGGGCCTCGCCTCTTCTGGCCCAAATGTCTTCGAACCGACTTACCCGTGTCTTCTACACCGAACTCGCGTCACAGTGCAGTCACTTCGGATTATCTAAATGGTGAAAACCACTTCGACCATCCCTCCGGCTCGCGGGTCTAATGGGCCTCATCCTTTACGGGCCATTATCCTGATTACGTGGCAATCTTTGGTTGGTCTCGTACTTCTAGTGCGGGATCCGACACCAACACACCGCCCTTGGAAAAACTTAAATCCACCACGACCTAAAATACCGTCAGATATATATTAATCGTATACAAATAAGAGAAATACTATTTTGATTTTTGAACACGATATTTATATTACCTCCGTGTCCACCAGTATCAGTTGCAAAGTATCGTCAAAGATCGAGGAACACTTAAATCTTCTAAGTACTCGGATCCTGATTTTACAGGGAAGCTTTGAAGGGTTAAGATCGGATACACGGACCAAAGGACCATCATCTCGGACGATAGGAACAGCGAGACCGTCGGTAAAGGGGATGTCGTTCATGGCTTAAGAACGATTAGCAAAAGACAGAATATCGTTCCTAAGCCACGATACAGTCCTATATATATAAGAAGATATAAGGCGGTTTATACGATACGCAATATGCTTATTAACATTATCGTAAAGAAATTATTATCTTTTCCATAAAAAACATGTGAATTATCCTCTCGTAACAGACGTAATATAATATATTATTATATTATATATTTTTGTACACGTCGAACGGTCTATTTAGATATGTAATCAGACATTACCTTTTCATCAACTAATATTAGATCCACGGTGTTATGATGACCAAAACATCGCACGAACTTCCTTAGTATCTTTACTCGGAGCCTCCAGTCATGGACAAAAGGATTCAACGAAGAAAATCTTGCGAATTAGGTTAACTTATGAGACATCACTGAACGTGCCTTGATATATATACAAGAATGTTAAACAATACAGGATATTTTAGACTATTCAATATATTTGCCTTTTTTCCGGGCAGTATATTGTATCTCTTATTTTTCGAAAAGTATATAAATTAGAGTATCGATAATTCGTGGGATATATGTAAATTTTGTTGCGAATATGTAAACATTATCGTATAAAAGTAAATAAAAATGCTATAATTTAATAAAATAACTAATTAATATTCGAATTTAATAAAGAGTATTTAAGTAATCACATAAAAGCAAGGGCTCAAGAAGAGTTGTGAGGCCGACACATCAGCAAAAACACTTCTCAAATATTATTATATATAGATGTCATTCTGCAGTTTTTTGTTTTTTTTTTTTTTTTTGTTTTTAAATGTCGTTCTACATCTTTTCAAACAAAGTTCATAATTTACCTTTATCCAAAGCTAATTTTTTTTTTTTTGGTAATGGTATCCAAAGCTAATTTTCTGTGAATTTAAATTAATATTATCTAAGTCATCTGTATTTAAATTAACAAAAAATGGTTACTTTGTATGAGATTTGTCAAATGACACTTTTTGTTAAACAGAAGGGATTATAACTAAATTGTATCGTGAAAATGGATGAGTAATAAAATCTTTATGTAATGAATGAATTCTAATTTTAACTAGATAATATTCGACAAAAAGAAGTTTTATGATATTTTACAATTTATATGTGCCCCATTTGAGATTCAGATATGGTTATACGCCCTGATCATCAAATCTCGAAGTACTTGTACCTTCACCAAATGTCACTATGCAATATATTAACCATAGAGGCATAGAGAATGATAGTAATTAGGGAACAAGGGATACATATCCTTCACCATTAAAAAACTCAAAACAAGATAGCAAAACGTCTCTACAACAGTGTCACAAACTACAAAAGACAAGACATAACAAACAACTTATGTGGAAAGTTTCACACAACAGTTCCAAACACAAAGATAATACTTGTCTCCTTATCTAACAAACCAACCAAAGACAGTAGAGAGACAAAGAAACTAAGCAGCAGCAAGCATCAAAAGCAGAGTAGCAGCTACTCCAGGTCCCTGTAACAACGTCAAAAACTTGTATAAATTACACATTCAGATTCTTTCATTGGAAGAGCTAAGGAGAGCTTCAGATTTACCAGGTAATCAGATTAGGTAGAATCACGAAACTCCAACGTGACAAAGGTGTTCTAGGTAAGAACCTGAGGAATGTCTATTCTTCACAATCAGGGGATGAAAGGTGAGACTGAAATGGCTTGAATCTGGATGAACCTTTACCAGCAGAGATAGTCTAAGACTCTAAGAGGGTCAGTAAAACTTCCTCTTCCCTTTTCCATTTCAAAAAAACAGGAAACGAGGCGAAGAAGAAGATCACTTAGCAGGAGAGTAGTTAGTTTTACATCTTTTAAGGCTTGATAGAAATGAATTAGAAGGAAGAGAAGGAGACTTAAAAAAAGAGAGAGTTAAAAGAAAAGATATGGACAGAGCGGGAGATACAAGACAAAGGTAAGACTAAGAACCCGAAAAGACGAAACTTGGAAGAATGAAACAGAAACCCAGTATGATCAAAGGCTCTACTGCATATACAGGCTAGCTAGATGCTATCTAACCCACTTAAGATAAAGAAGCCAAAAGGAAAAGACAACTCTAAGAAGAAACTATACAAAGGGCAAAGAGGAAACGCTAATGTTCAAGTATCACCACATGAACTTAGCATTCACCCAGGGTATATGTTAGAGACTGGTAAATTTTTGGCCATCCTATATGCTACACCACGAATCAAGTCTTCTCTTTTACGCGACATGAATCTGCTTCCTGAATGTTTCTACCCACTAAAAACCAGCTGTTCCACCATTAATAACACCCCAATCTGCGCTAGGAGATCCAGTAACTGCTGACTAACTCCGAGTCAAGACTGCTTACATGTTCCTTTACCATCGCCATTAAAAGCTAAGAAACAAACTCAAACCAGCTTGGTGACTAACACCTTATTTCTATGTGCATAAAACTAAAACTAACCCCGTTCCCCCTAAAGGCTCCTGATCTTCATTCATCGGCAGTCTCAAGCTCAAGATTGAGCATGCGACGCAGTGTCATAGTGGCAGAGACAGTACAATGAAAAGGGTTGTCACCAGATGAGGTTGGAGAAACCGGCGCAGACTTAGCAACTTCGCAAATATCAACAGCAGATTCAGGAGCGGGAAAAGTCAAAGATACCGTCCTCTTTTGGTGGAGAGAAAACTTAGGAATCGGCACAGAAGCAGGTGGAGGCGAGTTGGAGTAAGTAGGACCTGCCCATAGCTCAGAGTAAGATAGGCTTCTCCTTTTGTCAACAAATTCACTAGAACACCTACGGATCTGAGAACCTCTGCTGTTAGCAATTGGAATGGGACTGGTTCTAACGCTGTCTACCGAAAGAGGATTAAAAACCGGCAAAACGGACTTAGGAGAACGAGGAGACTGAACTTGAGGAAGAGCTCCTTTGGTTAAAGGTGTTGAAGAAGTTCTCTTAGGTCTCGGAAGCAAACCCACACCAGATTGAAAAGTTCTGCAATTGATTTGCCTAAAAGTTTTGGAAGGAGCAGATCTAAAACGATCATGTCCAAGAGATTTCTTCCCATAATATTGATCCCTATGTTCCACAGCTACAATAAGCGTTTCCATTTCGAGATCTGTCAACAGTAAGAAGCTTTCACTACAACAACAACACACACACACCTAGTCGCTTAACTAACGCAAGAACACTTGTTTCTCTGATCAAAATCAAAGCTTGATTCAAAGGAAAAGCCTTGTTGATAACCCAGAAAGCGTCTCTGAAGATCACAGAATCCGAAACCCAGCTCAAGCTGAAACAAACAAATTCAAGCCATACAAATGGAAGTAAATCATCACATACGAAGAAACAAAGAGAAATCACAAGATCAGATCCTGAAAACGGAACCAACATGACACTTTCCATAGAGAAATTCACCTTGAAAAAGAGGTCTTTTTGATGGTGATTGGTGAAGATATAAAGACGATTCGCTTCAGATCATACAGAGAGAGATAGGAAGCTAAAGAGATATTTTGTTCTTCACTAGCGGACCAGTGATGTGTTAAAGGATATCTTCTAGGGTTTTTAAGCCTCCATGGAAATGAAGATCCTACGGATCTGAGAAATGAGGTTGATAGAGAAGAAGAGAGAGAGAGAAAGAGACGGAGAACAGAGCAGTTGTCTTTAACTAGGCACAGAGGCACAGTTACTTCATGATTCTGCTGACGTGTAATTACATTAATACCCTTCACTTTATTCATTGACCATTTTGTCCTTCTCGTCCTTCACTGACTAGTTGAGAGTCTGAGACTGAGAGTAATTAAATTATTTTATTTTTACGTAATTAAATTATTTTATAAGCATAGCAATTAAGGATCATTTGAGAAACCGTATATTATTAAACGTTGTTGCTCATTAATTATTTTTATTTTAATTATTCGTGCATGGAGGACCTTTTACGTGACATTTCTTTCCTCAATTTTTTTTAGCTTTAATAATACAAAATTGAACATCTGGATGTCGTTTCTTTTTTCATTCAGTTCTATTAACCAATATCAATTGGCCTCTTTGAATGCCTTACATTAATTTAGAAAACGAATTAATAATAGATTATGGACTAGGTACAATTGGTAGGGTCTTGTAATGAAAATTATTGAGAAAGGATTCAGACATTGTATAGTTCCGCAAAAGTGGAACCATAAAATATGATTGAAACCCTTACATATAATTTACACAACTATATGATCTGCTTGCAAAATTCCGAAATTATTGCACTTCACAATTATAGAGATCCCCAAATAATATACACTTGTTAGGGCTTGATGAAGATGTGAAGCTTGGCTTCTTAGATGGATTGATGTGAAACTCAGAGTCTTTTTGACGCCTTGGTTTAGTTCTTGCCACTTTTGCTTTGAAATTGCTGGTTGAGGTTGTACCAAACCGAGATGTAAAGGCTTCATCCGAGGATAAGAATCCAGGTACAGGCTGTTTTGGTTTTGGATCTTGATATCCAGACAGAAATCCTGGAGAATATGATTCTTGATATGTGGGTAATCCAGATGACATATAGTCAAAAGGATTATACATATTTACTCGCCTCTGATTCTGGACTAGACTTTCTAGGCTTCTTTGAAGATCTTTGAGTTGATATTTAAGATTGGTTTGTTCAGCTTCTTTACTTCTGAACTGAGATGTATTAACCTTCATTTGTTTCGCCATAGACATCATTTCCAGGTGCAAGTTGCTGAGTTTCTGTTGAATCTCTGATATGGCTCCTTGCAGACTGTTGAATCTTCTGTTGTTGTTCTCCGATATTTGATCAACCTTGTGGCTAATGGATGACAGTAATTGATTCTGAACAAAGGCATTTTCTGTTTGCCAGTTGAGAACCTTTTCTGCTTGGCTTAATTCGTCTGGTCCAGCGGAGTTGATGTTGTTCGGAACAATTTTTGGTGTATGCACAATATTGTCTTTGACAAAGTCTTTTGGTGGAGGAAAATCCATCCTTATCATCATGAGTTGCTGGTTTGAGTCATCCTTCTTTGTTGAATACTCGACTATGAAGTCGTAGTTGTCGTCACCAAGTGGACCTACAGTAGGATCTCCTTCAAGGTAGCGTTTATAAAGTGGATCCTTCTTTTTTCTCCGTCTTCTTCGCTTTTCATCATCCGATTCATACGAATCTTCCAAACATGCGGTGCATGAGCAGACATCGAAGTAGCAATGTCCGTTTTCGTCTTTGAATGGATATACAACAGTTCCATTCTGACCAAAAGCGATTGGCTGCAGATCTTTCTTTTTGACGGAATCATAGAACTCTTGCTCCTCAATTTGGATAGTGAATTGAGTAAAGAGTTTCTTTTGAAAAGACAAACTTGGCTTTTCAAACTTTATCTCCGTGGTTCCATCGCTTCTAGAATGAAAGCTTACGTCAGATGACTGAATCGGTGCTTGAGATGCTTGATGTATCTTCTCATAGCTTGTTACCCATGACTCTGGTAGTTTTCGTAGCAATTCCTCTCGAGATATCTGTCTCGAGATTTGAATAGAGTTGGGTGCTTGTGATGCCGATGTGACCTCAAGGTATAAAGCCTCGTCTGATGCTGGTAGTGCAAGATCGAGAGCATGATCTTGGATTCTGTATACAATCTGATGATGTAGAGTTGCTGCCACACTTTCTTCTTGCATAGGAGCTCCGATTAATTGTAATTGAACCTTAAGCGCCTTCAGGAGATTTGGATCTTGTAGTGAGACATTGAAATTTGGAAACAGTGTTATAAATACTGTTCCAGCGTTCAGCGTTGTTTGTACTGTTCCGATGCAAGCTTGTTGATAGGATTTGAGCCTTGAGTCAAGCAAAGCAATCCGCGCTACAACCGGTAAACCTTTTCGTGCGTGTAAGGTTAAACCGATTCGTACTACACCAAAGTGTAAATGAGTGTAACCCTGCTGCTGCCATAGTCTCGGAAGATGCTCCGAAATATTTAGCGATATGAATTGTTCTTCTTCGGTGGCTGGAACTTGACATGATGAAAACTTGCTGGATTGTACGTACTCCAATACTCGTCGACTGGAAGATGGCCTGATGAGATCACGAATACCTTTTACTGAAAAAGCACTAGGCTTTTTAGCAAAGTATTCATAAGGATTGACCAACGGAAGAGTTGTTTCTGGCAATTGATCTCTGGGAACGTATTCGATTTCATACAAGGAATTTATCTTAGAAAGGGAATTATTTCTTTGGATTTTTGGTAAAGTAGATATAGCAAATTGAGAATCTATAGAAGGATTTAGCTGAGGGTGTTTAGGAGGCTTAGAAAGAGACATGATTGAGAATTTGTTTTCCAGAACATTCAAAACGATCAGTCATAAACAATGATTCGCTCTATCTTAACACAAGTCTATGGCTCTGATACCATAATCTTAAAGCTAGCACGAGCGGAGGGTCGTGTTGACTAAGTCTAGACGACAGTCGTGTTTACAAGCAAGGGTTCATATTCCAGGTAAAGGAAGCGGTTCGGGCCTCTTTGCCATCTGTTTTGCTCAACCTACTATTAGGAACTGTGAAACCCCGGCGAGTACTATTGACTGCCGTGTTCGACCGTCGTATTGACGGACCACTTATGCTAACCTTAAGAGAACAATACAGAATCGCGACTGTGTTTAGAATAGAAAGAAACAAGGTTTATGAAGAAGTTAGGAAGTCTGGAAAACTTAGAGAGAAGTTAGAGAAACATTTAGAGAGAGAAAGCTATTATGAAATTTTATGGTATTTCAAGTTATGATTTCTTACAAGGGGTACACACTTATTTATAGGAGGTTTTAAGGCGCTGACATAAGCGCTTACCTCAGCGATACATCATCGCTTACATCATTGCTTACATAATCATTACATCAGCGATTACATCATCGCTTACATCATTATTTATTTTACATGATTTTAAACATATCATATTATATTTTATATTTTATAATTTTCATACCATTTAATGATCCATTTCGAACTCCAGCATATGTTCTTCGCAGCATCCATAATGATCATCTGGACATTCATACGAATTTTCGATCATTCGTGCATCTTCTCCTGGTTGAACATTTATGTGGAATTTGAACTTCTCTTCGATATCTTCAACATTTACTTCATCATCTGGGGATTGAGCGTCTTTGAAGTAATCGGCACAGTAATCTTGAGAAGTCACCTGGGGAGTTGTTTCTTTGTGTTTATCTTCTTTTGGACTGCTTGGTTTTCCTTTGTTGAACTTCATCATGTGATACTGTAAATCTTCATCAAGTTGCATCTGATAGTCGACCGGATAATAAACCCAGTTGGGTATGAACGGAATGGGGAACGTTTGTCTTGCATTGTTGAGGTGAAACGCATGAGTTTGAAAGTTCTCGTATGCTTCGTTATCTTGAAGGTTGAAATCTGGACGAACTCCTCTTGAAAAATCGCCGTGATGAATAAGAGTTGGAAGAGCAAGGATTTTGCTTGTTTTGCGGTTGACCTTAACAGGACGATGAAAGAAGTAGATTGAATGCGGATTGAAGAATGGGTTGAGTCCACCTTTCTTCAGGATGAACACCGAGTTGCCAAAATCCTGACTTCAGATCAAACTTCAAAAATATTTTTGCACCTTGGAGATGTTGGAGAAGTGCTCTTTTATTTGGCAGTGGAAACTTGACGTCTTGCAGATATTGGTTCAACGGCTTGTAATCGATAACTAATCTGAGTTTTCCTCTTGCTTGTTCTGCACGATTATTAACGTAGAACGCTTTGCATGCCCATGGAGAGTTTGTTCTTGAGATGATACCTTGATCTATCAATTGATTGCATTCCTCATTTGCCTTCTACAACAGTGTTGGAGGCATTCCTGCATGACTTGCTTTTGTTGGTGTTGTGTGTACATCTTCCTTGAATGGTAGGGATACGAAGAAGCTTGAGTTTAACCATAGCGGATGATTACACTTTTGAAGGAACTCTGTGTGTGAATCAGCACATGATGTCATCTTTAATTCTTCTTCAATTTTGTTGAATTCCGCAGATGCTGAGTCTTCGATTGAGAATAGGCGATGCATCGTGGTAAAAGCTTTGTAGAGATTTTTCCATCTCACACCTCTTGGTTCCAAAGAAATACCGAACTTCTTCTTCAGTACCGAATAAGTATCCCACCCAAGGATTAAGTCTTTACCAGGTGCAGATGAACCTAGTACTTCCTTAGTAACTTGACATCCAGGGAAAAGCTCTATCGTGATTGGTTTTGATTTTAGCTTGACCGTCAGGGATCCAGCATTCGCGACTCTGAAATCTTGTTGATGAGGCATCCACATGGCTCGTGAGAGAATCTTTGGATTTATAATTGTTGTATGAGCTCCTGTGTCGAAGAATGCGATTGCGTGTACTGGCTTTTCTCTTTTGGAAGGATCAAAGATGGTTACTGGTAGATGTGGTGTCTGAAGTTCATCTTCTTGAGGCATCTGGGTAATCTTGAAACAACAATCGTCTTTTTCATCTTCGGATGAGGATTCTGAAGATTCGTCATAATCTGAATAACTGTATATAGCATCATTCTCGTCACTATCGTAAGATAGTATTGACTCAAGATCATGGTTATCAATATCAAGATCTGGAGCTATCTTGGATATCGAATGAATGAGATATTGCTTCTTCTTTTTAGACTTGTTTGGACAGTCTTTTGCAAAATGCCCCGTCTTTCTGCATAGAAAACATCTTGAAGTTTTCTCGAAGCTTTTCTTCTTCCTAAAGAATCGCTTGCGTTTAATCTTGTTGAAATATTTTGACTTCAAGAATGATTTCTTGGATCCTCTTCGGTCTTTTCGTCGTTCTCCACATGAACATTTCTTCTTTTTCGAACATTTGATGTTCAGATCTGGGCGAGCACATATCTTCGAAAGATGCTTTGACTTGTCCATGAATTCTGACCAAAATTCTTTTTGCTTACAAAGCTTATCAAGGGTTCTGAACACCTGCTGTTGGATTTGTCCAATCGAGATTTCTTCGATTGTCTGCCCTTGATCTCTGATATACAGCTTTGTTTGTTGACTTAGGTAATCGTCTATGGATGAGAGATAAACTTGCTTCAGGCTTGGATTGTTTAGACCATTGAGAGCATAATACCTTCGAGTTTGTCGCTCGAAATGCTTTGCTAAGTCTCTCTTCTTCAATGAACAACACTTCGCTGTGTAGAACTCTTCTTGTAGTTGTTCTTTTAAATGATTTGGGGTGCCAACGAATTCTCTATGTATTTCTCCAAGAAGTAGAGGTATCGTTGTCTGATACACCTGCTGCTGACGATATTCTCCAAGTGAATTCCACCATTCTTTTAATGCGCCTGACAGTCTTGATGTGAATTGTTGTATCACCACTTCTGTTGGGGAAGTGATAGCTTCGGAGGTCATCCATGCATGAAATTCGTCAAGACGACTATTCCATTTTTCAAAAGGAATGTCATCGAATGTGAACACCATTATCTTTGATGCAAATTGTTTCTTTGGTACGCCTTGAGCTTCATAGCTCATCTCTTCGTCACTGGAAATTTCTTCATAGATTGGCTCTTCTTTTGGAATATGTGACTCATCTCCGATTGCAAACTGATTTGGAAGAGATTCATCTGTTTCTGATTCATCGACGGAAGAGGTTGAATCCGAAAGAGCTGAAATGTGAGTCATTGTAACAATTGGTAGCGACTGCTGCTCTTTTGATTGAACTTGCAATTGTCTTTCATCATCAGATGTTTTCATAAGATTGTCTAGTAAACTTGACATCGAAAACTCGATCATCGCAATTTCTTCTTCTTTTGCAACATCTTCTTTCTTGTCGTCCTGAGCGGACTCATGGCTTGATGAAGATGTGAAGCTTGGCTTCTTAAATAGAATGATGATAACAATGGTGACGATGATATATTATTATGATGATATGATACTACGAACTAGGAAGGCTCTCGACCATATGAACTAAAGCTGGTAAGATTTCATTTATGATCAAAATTATAATTACTCCTTATATTTTTGATTCTTGCTAATACCAAGTCTTCTTCACTCTTTTTTAGAAAGAAAGAAACAAATATTAAAATGTACTAAGAAATATATAAGAGGTTATATAAGAGATGGAGGAAAGAAAAATAAAAATTTAATTTCACAATGGTCAACAAAACGAACATTATGAGATTCATCACTGAATAACGGACATTAATTACTATCTCAACACCTTGACTTGCTAGACCTCCCATGTTTTCCTAAGATCGGTTGCTAACTCATCATCTTATTATTGCTCAAAACTTTACAAACAAAAACCATTAAATTCAGTTTTGCCCAAAATGTAATATTTAAGAGAAATTTTAAACCAATATCGGGATACGCATACTTTGGTTGATTTGAGAAAAACTTTGCAACAAATGCGAAATTTAATTTTTGTTCCTTCAGCTTCTCCCTAATAAATATGAACTTTGGTTTTGAACTTCTTACAGGATAAACCATTGTGGCATAAAAACATCATATTTGAAAAAAAAATATTATGACTTAATTATGATTATTCCTTTGAAATAATTTTCTTGGTGTTATATTATTTTCACTCTAATACATACATGATCGCTCTTTCTTTAGATATAATGGGAAAATGGGTAGAAAAACCTACACTTTTCCTAAACATATTAAAAAAACCTCACCTTTTAATAAATGGTAAATAAATCATAATATTAATAAATTCAACCTATTAAAAAAATCGCTATATTAATAACAAAAATATGTAAAACAATTTAATTTATGATTTATGTTCATACGCAAATCGTATAGAAGCTACAAAAATAACGTACACACTTTTCTAATTATTATACCTTACCAAAACCTTCATATTCTTTACAGATTTTGTACAATTTTCATATGTTATTATAAGGTTACAAATTTATGTTTTGGACTTTTGGACAAAATCGAGAACATGAGGAGTTACCATGAAATCCTCCATGAGTAAAATCGATTCTTCCTCAAACTCTTTGTCGTAGACAACCGCACAATATCATCATCAACGCTAAAACGGTAAATGATCCAATCCACAATAAAAGGGAGATAACCAACAATCAAACAAGAAGACGAAGGGAAAAAATGATAAACTTCAGAGGGCGGTGTAGTTGAAATTAGGAAGGTTTGAATGCAATCTAACAACAGATAGTTCTCAAGGAGGTATCTTGCTTTCATCACGGACCATGTACAAGTAGGTCTTCTAATGAGATATTGCAATTATTGAGAAAAAGATTCAAAAGGTTTCCATTGATTTTAATTGTGGTGGATAAGATTCATATATTGAAGATTATGAAAGCCTTGCAAAACAGCAAACTATCCTAATAATTTTTTGTGGATTCTATAAAACATAGATACTACCAAAATGAAGACATAAGTTCATACAAAAAAAAAAATTGAAGACATAAGGATATATACCACAAGAAAATAAAGATTCATATGATAAGTGTATTTCCAATCAATGAATAAATTGAAACAAAGTATTTTTCAATGGTTTACTTTATTTTATACTTCTAAAAGAACATTCTTAGTAGATTTCATCTCCATATTTTTAATTTTCAAATTTTACACATTTGTTTTATTTTATGCAATACTTTAACAACATCATGATTTTATCTAATTAAACATTATTCTATAAATAAAACTACATCACAAAACATAAATAAGAAAGAAAAAAAAACATATTACAAATAATCAATTAAAGTGAAATATGAGATTTTTTACCTTTGATTTTTCTATATTACATCACAATTTCTTAGAACTGTGTATTAAAAAATATTTCTTTATTTTCAAAATGAAAGAAAATGTGAAATTTTAAACATCATCAGAGATAGTTTTAACAAAAATTTGAGCCGTTAAAAACCGGTGAGTGGTACAAATGTTTATTATGATGAGGAGAAGTAGAGAGGTTTGCAACTGCTTTAGCAGTTGCGTTTTACAATTATTTCCGTTCGGTTCGACTTTGGGTTTGATGAACCCCGGTAATTTACCACTCGCGTTGTTTTTTTCCATCCCAAAATGATCATGAATAACTTATTAGGCTTGGCCTTCAAATTTCTGTCCATTTTGACATCTATTAATAGTCTCAAGGTTCACGTAATTGAAATATCAGGTCATATAAGAGAGTTGGAGTTTCTTTATCACATGCAATTATGAAAACCCTCGAGCTTCCTCGATGAAAGTTAGCAAACCCCCCAAAGGTGAGACATTTATTGATACTTCCGTGGATATTGAGATTGATACGGTTTCTAATTTAAGGTTTTAAAAGAAAAGAGAGTGGGATTTAACAAAAGTGTTTTTCGAGTTTGAGCTGATCAAACTCGTTCTACTGGTCATCGGTAATAACTTATTAAGAAAAAAATCATAATTAAAACTCTTACAGGTATACTTTTTGTTTCACTGTTCTCAATATAGAATAGTGATAATAATGGTGACGTCGTGACGATGATAACATGATACCATGACCACAAAGGCTTCACTACAACCATGATAAGATCAAAGCTCATGAGGACGATGACTAAAAGTCACCAACATATATAATTGCATTTGCTAAGTTTTGCATATCAAAAATATTGTTCATCTGATATGACCAGAAGTGGTCATCGAGCGCAAATCCTAAAATTTGATTTTTCTACCATCTTAGAACTCCCTCAATGCACTGCAAAAATTCAAAACAATCATGGAACCCAACGTAAGGCAAATGATATGGACACAAGCGCAATGATATGAATACAGAGGGACAAACGCATAATCTGTGATGCTCATTTAGGGGCATTCTTCATTGGATAATACAGAGGTGGGAGAGATATCCTAGATAATTGATCGTTCTACAGTCTTAGAACTAAGTGAATCCCCTGCAAAATTCAATCATCGACCTAAGGCAAAAGCACAAGAACAGTTGCATATCCCTAAAGTCGAATCATTCATCTTTAACACACAAACGCAATCATGTGATACATAGCAGATTAAAGCATAAAATATGGAGCTCATTAACGGGCAAGTAGAACACAACAGTATCTATGATGCAAATAAGGAACAGTCTACAAGATAAAGTATAAGATAGAGTACCCACACAAGCAGTTCGTAGCAGGAGGCAAAGCAAAATCAATCATCAGCTTCATCAGTCTTTGTAGCACCAAAAGGGTCATGATTAGGCCCTACTTCTTCTCCCATATGGCGCTGCACAAGCCGTTGCAGATCAGACATAACCTTAGCCTCGCGCTTGGCCTTCTCCTCGTAGTTAAACATGGCCAATGCTCGTTTGTCTTCAGCACTGTAAACCTGGTTTTCCTTTCTGATACGAATAGCATTCATCCTTTGATGCCTACTTCCACTCATCACATAACCAAGATCCTCAAACTTCTGAATCTCTTCAGCATTAAGACCCACTTCTCCTCTACGAGGAATACGTTTACCTTGCTGAACATACTGTGCTATGGCATCTCCTTCACCAGGCCTTAAAGCACCACCATAACTGATGTGACCTTCAGCTTTAGGTAATGGCATTGGACCAACATCAGCTTCTTCCTCTTCATCATCAACAGCTGAAGATTTCTTCTTTGATTCAATCATCTCTTTGAACTTCTTCAACTCTTCTTCATCAAGTTCAAGCTCAGTGTTCTTCACCGTTTCTTCTAATTGCATCTTCGAATCATCCTCCTCTATACCATCGCTTTCAGTCTCTGACTTCGTTTTCTTTACCTTGCTTCGTTTCGAGCTAGAACCCGAAGATTTCTTCCGCCTCTTGCTCTTTGACTTGGTGTCTTCCTCCCCAGACGAAGAAGCACTAATCTCGGATTCCTCCGCTTTACTATCTTCATCGCTGCTCTCATCAGAGTCACTGTATCTCGTCTTTCTATAATGACTTCGCTTTTTCCTACTTCTGCTTTTCTTCTTCTTAGAACTCTTCCTTCTTCGTCTTCTATCTTCATCTTCCGAATCACTCTCTTCAGATTCACTATCGCTATCATAAGATCTCCTTCGCCTGCGCTTAGACCTAGAGCTCTTACTCTTCCTCTTCCTAGATCTCAAACCATCAGATTCAGATTCCGAATCTGACTTCCCAGAATCAGATGTACCTTTCTTTTCTTTCCCTTTCGAATTATTATCTTTTTCGCCGCCGTTCTTATCCAGAATCTCGTCGACGTTCTCATCGGAATCCTCGTTCTGATCTCTAGGTGGACTCGGTGTGTTCTCCCAAAAACAGAACTTGGCCGATTTCCTCATCTTAAGCCGTTTCTGCCTCCTATATTCCTCGTGACTTAATCCCTTCAATTCTTCATCGGAATCTGAACCAGATCTCCTTCCGTTTCGATAATCTCGATCCAGATAGCCATGATTCTTCCCAAATCTCCTCGGAAGCGAGTTCATCGTCATTCTCGAATCCCTAATTCACTCCGACGACGACGACGACGACAAAAACAAAATCTTATCAGATGATTGAAAAATTAGGGCTTTTGAGCGAATATATACACTTTTTCATTATTGGGCCATGAATAGGCCCAATAAAAAATGATCTAACATTCATTATTCACCACTGAAAACATGTATTTTTACACAAAGCACCCCACATTTTAATTAGAGTCAATTGAGTCCTCTATCTATCCTTGTCGTCGTCTTCAGATGGCAAGTCTCTCCATCTCCGCCGTGTCTCTGTCGCCGTTTCGACCACAGACACAGACTCGTCTTACAAAACTCAGTCCCCGAACGAATCTCCACTCATTCTATCTCAAACCAATAAGGATTAACACGAAAATTAGAAGTTTGGGTGGGAATCGGAGAGAGCCGAAGGATTCGAGATTCAGTGATGAAAATGGCGTAGTTGATGACATGGAAGGTTTCTTAGACAATCTATCTCTCGAATACGACTCCGTTTGGGACACTAAACCCTCTTGGTACAATCTCTATTAAGTCCCCAATTCTTTTTATTTCCAAGTAGTTTGGATTTAGTGTGTTAAGACTTATTAGGAATCGTATTTGTTGGTTCTGAATATTGTTAGAGCTTAGATAGAGTGTGTTTAAAGAGTCTAAGTTTCACTTCTAGGTGGAGCAATTTCAGTGATTATGCTTACTCATGAACTTGTTTGAATCATATATGAAGCTGAATATATTGATTGATGCTACTTAGAACAAGTCATACCCAATGAAAGTTTCATGACTTGTGTTGTGGTTCTTCACCCTGTTTTAGAAGAAAGAAAGACAAAAGTTTGAATCTTTGGGTTAGGAAGATAGTGAAGAACCAAAATACTGTACAGATTATTGGGTTTAGAAGGGTTTATCATTTCAACATTCAGCAACTACTGCTTTGAATATCTATTGATCTGGTGTGTATTTGCAATCGAAAACTTTACGGTTCTTCTTAGACATTTTCAGGGCCTAGTGTTCTTCCATTTTTCTTGAGATATGGTTGTGAATAAGCAACTGGATAATGTTTCTCAGGTGTCAGCCATGGACGATAATGTTAACGGGTTTATCAATAGTGGCATGTAGCTGGGTAATACTACATTCGGTCATAGTTTCATCGCTTGCTGTTGGTGTAATTGGCGCTTGGTGGTACATTTTCCTTTATAGCTACCCAAAGGTGTGAATCTCTCCTTTTAGTCGAGTTACTAAAGAAAAGTGTGTAGCTTTATTTTCTAAGTCCGAGTTTAAGTAAATTCTTGTTTAAACTTCTTCAGACAGTGCTAGTTTCTATTATCTTAGTGAACAGGACTCTCTTTGGTCATATTGAGCAAATCTTGCTCTCTTTGTTTTGAGATCTGATGGTTTTGTGTGTTATTTGGTTGTTAAAATTGGTTTTCAGTCGTATTCAGAAATGATTGCTGAGAGAAGGAAAAGAGTAGCTGATGGTTTTGAAGATATTTACGGCAAAAACAAGACTTCATAGGACCTTCTCAATCCTCGAAATAACATTTGTTGCTTGCATAAATCTCCTTCCCTTCTATTTGTGTATAATAACAATCATCTATGGATTTATGATCTCAATTTCATTCACAGATGTTTGGATACAAAGCTCTTGATTTCAAACACCTATGTAGAAAGTGAGCAATAAAATCGAATTGAACCGAGAATATACAAACCGAAATGGAACCAAATCTACGGAAAACTCATTACTGAAACCAACCGAATTAAGTGCCATCGAACTTAATAAACCAAACTAAACCGGACCGAATTTAATCCGGATCATTTTTTCAGAAAATCAACCGAACTGAAGAACCAAAATGTTAATGGACGAGAATCATGGAGAAGGAAGGGTAAAAATGTAATTCCAAAGAGGTCATGGTCAACGGAATGTATCTCTTAAAATAGAAGTACAAATGAAAATGGATCGGGTTAAAATCAGAAAATTGATCCGAAATTCTGAAATCGGATCTTTGAAATTTTTTTGGAATATAAATTCGAATTAATAATGAAAAATCGAAATAAAATCAAATATTTATGAAAATCAAATAAAATCTGATTGTACTTATGGTAACTAATACTAAAAGCATATTCCAAACAATATTATACATTAATTACGTATAATAAATTTGTTCATATATTTTTGGGACTAATTCCATAACAATCAACGTTTTTGTCATTAATTTCGCTCATTTTAGCCAATTATCATTAATTGAAAGATATTTTACTTGCTTCTAATTTCTAAAAAATTTATCACAAATAACACATCTGTTTTATAAATTAAATTGATATTTTTATTTTGGTAGGGTAAATTAAATAGATATTTTTATTTTGGTCGTGTAAATTAAATAGATATGAAATCTATGTAACTAATTTTAATTTAATTAGATTAAATCGAAATTATGATATTTTCATACCTATAGCTTACCAAAGAAGTTTAATTTTCAATTTATAAAGATTTCGTGAATATGATTTTAGAATTATTCAACAAGATGATAAGTATTTATTAAATTTTGTAAATCATGAAAAATAATAATTAATTTTTAATCATTATACTTCATCTTTCAATCTCTCATCTAACAAATAAGATACATATTCTATTATGGGGCTTTTGCAAAAATACTCCTTTTTCAATGCCCCTTTTCAAAAATGCCCCTTCTTTATAACTTTATAAAAAATGCTCTTAAAAATATAAGATTTACCCAAATATGTATGTAACATTATTAAAACATATACAAACTACATTTGTATGTATCTAAAATCTTATAAATACTTTATAAATACCTTATAAATGCATTTTAAATACCTTTAAAAACCTTTAAAATATCTTGTAAAACCTTTGAAAAACCTTAAAAATCCTTTAAAATAACTTGTAAAACCTTTAAAAACACCTTATAAAACCTTATAAATACTTGGATCGAGTCTTCAAGTAGTAGTTACAATCCATAAGTACCTTATAAACCTAATAAAACTTTATAAAAATTTCAGATTTAAAAAGGGGCATTTTTGAAAATGGACATCTAAAAGGGGCATTTTTGAAAAAGGGCACACCAAAAGGGGCATTTTTAACAATTTCCCTTCTATTATTACTATGTCCAAACTTCATTTTGTTGTATGACTAAATAATATCCCCATTAGAACTGTCAAAGCGAGTTAATTTGTCCCGTTAAGTCCGTTTTGCGATAGACAAAAAATATTTTGACTTGTAGTTAGTCGGTCCGCACGACCCGCGGGTAGCATATATGAAATACAAATCCGTCCCGCGAATGTATGCGGATTTGCGGGATTGTCCATGGATTTTGTTTAAATAATTTTAAAGTAACCAAAATTTAAAATACTACTAAAATAAATAAATCAATCAATATACTATTAAAAGTTTGTTTAAATTACCACATGTTGAATAAATTATAATTATATCAATAAATACTAATATGCGGGCTGATCCGCCAACCCGCGGATGAAAACCGATTAAACCTATGACCCACTGCGAATTAATCCATGTGTCCCGCTTATTTGCGGATTTAATATATTTTCCCAAATCTGCCCCATAGTGAGATGATGTGGGCTCGACCCGCGATTTTTGATCTATTTTGACTGCTCTAATTCCCATGAATCGTCTAATTTAGAATTTTAAAACACAAAATTCTATTTTGTAAATCATAATTAATACGATGGGTATATTTAGGGCTGGGCAATCGGGTACGCGGGTCGGGTTCGGGTCCTTCGGGTAGAGAAGTTTAAGACCCAATAAGGTAAATCTAAAATATCGGTTCGGTTTCGGTTCGGGTCCAATCGGGTTCGGGTCGGTTTGGGTTTAAAATTTCAGAACCGCTAAATACCCGAAAAAATCAGGTACCCGTCGGGTTCGGGTAAATTATACCCAATTATACCCAAATACCCAAAATTTTACCCTAATACCCAAAAATTTGCCCAAATACCCAAAATTTTTACTCGAATATCCGATTTTTATCCAAAATTTTATCCTAATATCCGAATTTTTACCCAAAATTTTACTCGAATAACCAAAATTTTATCCAAACATCCGAAAAACTTACAAATATCTCATGTATAAATATATTTAGTCTTAAGTATTTAAATATAAATGTATTTCTTTTTTGTAATTACTCTCGGATATTTGAATATAAATATATTTAACTCAAATATTAGATATACTAAAAATTTTATATGTAATTTCGGGTAATCGGGTACCCGTTCGGGTATCGGATTTGGATCGAGTTTTACCCTATACCCACGGGTACGACAATACAAAACCCAATAGGGTAAATAGCTAATACCCGTACCCGCCCCGAACCGGTTTTTTTGGGTCGGTTTCGGTTTGGGTTTTCGGGTCCGGGTTTTTCGCCCAGGCCTAGGTATATTTATAAACAATTTTACATTTTCTCTACAATTCGTTATTATGAATATTTATAAGTATACTATACGATTCGTTCTACTAAAAAACACACACAATATTAAACGCAACGTATAGAAACTAATATATACGTGTAACGGTGAAATTCATTGTGATTCATCTCTCTCCACTGCGAGTGCGAGGCTAAATCCGACGAGAGACGGCGATGCCAAGCGGTGGTAACGGAGCCAGTAACGGAGCCGGTAACGCAGGAACAAGCGGAAACATTCCGATGTATAAGCCATACCGTCACCTGAAAACCCTAGAAGGTCACACGGCGGCGATCTCTTGCGTCAAATTCTCCAACGACGGGAATCTTCTGGCTTCCGCTTCCGTCGACAAAACCATGATTCTCTGGTCAGCTACGAACTACTCTCTGATTCATCGTTACGAAGGTCACTCTAGTGGTATCTCCGATCTAGCTTGGTCCTCTGATTCGCATTACACTTGCTCTGCTTCTGATGATTGTACGCTTCGAATCTGGGACGCTAGATCTCCTTACGAGTGTCTTAAGGTTCTTAGAGGTCATACGAATTTCGTGTTCTGTGTTAATTTCAATCCTCCGTCGAATTTGATTGTGTCTGGATCGTTTGATGAGACGATTCGGATTTGGGAGGTGAAGACTGGGAAATGTGTTAGGATGATTAAAGCTCATTCGATGCCGATTTCGAGTGTGCATTTTAATCGAGATGGATCGTTGATTGTTTCGGGAAGTCATGATGGTTCTTGTAAAATTTGGGATGCTAAGGAAGGAACTTGCTTGAAGACTCTTATTGATGATAAATCTCCAGCTGTTTCTTTCGCCAAGTTCTCGCCTAACGGGAAGTTTATACTCGTTGCTACGCTTGATAGTACTCTTGTAAGTTTAAACTTCTTGTTGGCTTAATCTGTGAATCATATCTGGATATGAATTGAATAATGTAGCATTTAGGTTTCGAATATGCATCATGTATCGGGGATATGAACAAAAGGTTAAGAATCAGACTTTCGTCTAGTCTTTGATGGATTCTTGTATTTTGTTGATCTTGAGACCATTTTGATACAGAACAAATATAGTAATTCAACGTTTTAATTAGGACATGAAAAAGAAGTCAAGTGTTGAACTTTCGTCTAGTCTTTGATGAGTTCTTGCATTTGTGTTATCTGTTGATCTTGAGAACATTTTTTGATACAGAACAAAATGTAGAATCTGTGATTAATGGATTCTCTTGTAATGCTCTTTACTAATGGATTGATTCATGTTTGTATTTGGATCAAAAATTTAACAGAAGCTGTCCAACTATGCGACGGGGAAGTTTCTGAAAGTGTACACAGGACATACCAACAAAGTGTTCTGTATCACATCGGCGTTTTCTGTAACGAATGGGAAGTACATTGTGAGTGGATCAGAGGACAATTGTGTGTATCTGTGGGATCTTCAACAGAAAAATATACTGCAGAGATTGGAAGGCCACACAGACGCAGTGATCTCAGTGAGTTGCCATCCGGTTCAGAACGAGATAGCTTCATCGGGAAATCATTTGGATAAAACTATCAGGATTTGGAAACAGGATGCTTGAGAATTTCTTAGAACATGAATAAATATATGTAATGGAAACAACAATAGTTTTAAGATTGTGAATCTTGACAGATTTGTTGTTTGATCTGAACACACTATTTTGGATGAAAATCTCTTGCAAGTTGGTGAGTATTCTTATTCTATGGTGTATTATGATGACATGAGATCAGTGGTTTCTTAAATTGCTCATTGCTCTCTCAATTTAAGATCCAAACATTTATTTTTCATAATTATCCAAATCTTTCTAATTATAAAATGTAGTTCCCTTCCTTTTACCATTGAGCTGGCCAGAGAGATTAGTTGACTACTGAGTGAGCAACTTTCTAATTATAAAATGTAGTACAGTAAAATTTTGAAAATTAATAAGGAAAGAACTCGTGAAATGAAAAAAATAAACGTGATCTTTTCTTTAATAACAACAAGTTTCACGATACTATTTACTAACGAAATTATATTTTAACTTTAAAAACAAAATAACAAAGGGGCCCGAGTTAGAGGAATCTTCCCAAGACAAAAATGTTTTCCCTTTGGATTCCAAACACAAGACAAAATAAACCGCCTTGTAAAAGGTTTAAAAGAAGCAGTTTACAGTCGATAAACCACTTCAAAAACCATCATCATAGGTGAGAAAGTCGAGACACAAAAAGCACAATTTTGAAAGACATCTCTTTTCACCTATATGCATGTGTCTCTTCAGGCACCAAAAAAGCATGGTCACTTGGCTGAAAGATGGAGACAAAATTCAAAAGTCTTTCATGATGTCACAAAACTGAGAAGATCAGCCAAAAGAATCCACTACAAGGAAGATAAAATGGGTGTTATGGCTTGCAAGTACTTCTCCTGCTAACCTTTTCTCCTCTTGAGGATGAGAGTGAGGAGGGGATTTCAGAGGTCTAGAGCCTAGAGTGACTGACTGAGCGGAATGGGGTATATAATATAATGGACCTTTGTTGAGAATACTATAAAGAAGTATGAAATATGTGTGAGAGAGAGAGAGAGAGATATGAAATATTTTTGAGATAAAAATTTTATGTGATCGTTGATCTGTTACTGAGAAGGAGATCTAGAGAGAGAGATATAGAGAGAGAAGAGATATATATATATATATATATAGAGAGAAGATATATATATATATATATAAAGAGAGAGAGATATATAGAGACCTAGCTTTGTGAATTAATAACGTTTCTGTTCATTCATCGATCTAGAGAGAGAGAAGGGAGATGAAATACTTGATAAAATGGTTGGAATGTTTTTGCTCATGTTTTATGAGTAAAAGTACATTCAAATCCAAAATGAAACAAATCAAATGGATATTGAATAACAGTTGGTCTAAATATATTTTAAAATACATCAAACAAATGTTTAATCCAACAACAACAGCTTTTAATGTAAATTTTCAAATACATAATTGAATAACACTTGATTTCAAAATAGATTCAAATCCATTAAAAACCCCAATCCAATAGCCCCTTCTTTAGATCCATAAACGTCGCCCAAAAACGTTTACATCACACCATGAGGTCCTCCGTTAAGGTGCCAAAATGAAAGAATCTGGTGCCACAAGTTTACAAAACGCATCCATTAATGATAGTATTCAGTTACTTCATCTTCAACTAGTAATTTAATAAAGCCTAATAAATAACAATTAGTACCTTGGTCTTAAGGGAAAATCCCCAACAAATGTGACATCCCATCTTTTTTTTTTCAGCGTCTCCAAAGGAAAGCTAAAAAATAAACACACACAAACAATAACAATATATATTGGCCACACACAAAAAATACCCATCATGGAGAGAATCGATTACATGACTACGTTTGGTAAATGAAATGTTTAGTTACGTACTTTGGTAGGGAAGTTCTTCTGCTACCATTAGAAGCTAAACAATTGTTGCTTGATACATCCTATTAGAGGGAAAAATAAAGACGCAATAATGGGATATATTTATGACTTATGAGTAATTGTAAATGCATTTTGTTTAGCAGTTCCAATGGTTAATATAGAACTTACAATGTATCGAATGGATTTGAAGTTCCCCGCGATTACTGAATTCAAAAACTTCACAACTTCTCCCTGAGTAAATTTGAGATTCAATAGTTAGGGCTCATATGAGTGTTACATTAAGAATGAAATATGCCACTAACAAAATTTGATATGGTTTAATCCTTCACCTCTTGGAGAGAATAACAATCACGCAGTATTAGTGTCTCGAGAGGACTCTCTCTGCATCTATCTCCCAAAACCCTACCATCAAAATTTTATGTCATGAGAGATCTTGCAAATATATAGAAACCAAGATGATATATCATTTCATTGTGTTTAAAACCATATGAACCTCAAAAAGCTCCCATCGATTTCAAATGTTTTGGATAGATTGATATACTTAAGTTTACGAAAACCCTGCAAAAAAATCCCTTAGTAAATGTACATGTACTAAATGAAGTGAGAAGAAATAAAGGAAGAAGAGCCATACCTTAAAAATGATTCGGGCCATTGCCTCATTTAGATTGAAATTTAGGAGTGTTAGAGAAGTTAACTTGGGGCAGTTGGTCACAAACAATTCGATGGTTGAATATGTTATGATGCCTAATCAAAATCAACCAGACACAAAGTAGGTAAGCTTAAGCAAACTTGTGAGGAAAAAATAAAGGAAGCCCCACCATATAAAATTTTTACCTTGAGAAAAGTTATCTAAGAATAGATGCTCTATCAAGCAACATTTTATCGCAAGTAACTCTATTATCGGCTCTAAAAAAACATTCCTGACAAAGAAAAAAAAAGTGTAATTGTTCCCAAAGAATTCGATAGAAGATGCATCTCTATTATAAGAAAATGAAAGGCAAAAAAAAAAAAAAAATGGAGATTTCATGCAATTCAAATATACAAGAAGTATAGTAAGAAAAAGGTAGGCACTCTAACTTACACTCCAACAATCTTCAAATCGGTTAGATTGGCGCAGGCTGATAATGGAGCCAATAAGGAATCAATGTACATGAATCCGATAGAGTAGATGTGTAGGCTTCTCAAAAGATTCCTAGTCGAATGGAAAAACAAAATACCAAATAAGAAACATGTTAAAAGAGAAACAGAAATGTCGTCACTGAATATATTGATGATCAAGCCAGCAATCTATACCCAGTAAATTGTAGTGGAGCAAGACAAGAGTTTGTAAACAAAGATGGAACGTATCCGGGAGCATCACGACGACCAAGTTTAAGGGATCTGCACGCATAAACGCAACCAAACCAATGAGAGATGGTTACATATATATATTGATCATCAAGTTCAACTAACATAGTTAAGAAATGCAAGCACCTGAGTTGTTTTCCAGAACGATTGATCAAAGTACTCAAAACTCGGTCATCAGCATGTTGAAATGCTGTTGTCAAGTCAATATGAGAGTAACATAAAGGGTCCATGGCACTCTTGTTGAGCATTGTGCAGCATGCAGAAACTTGCATCAGGGACTTTGTATCAAGCTTCGAAAATATCTGATTATCATCATGAATCCATGAGACATGCAAAAGGCTAGCTAGGACCATTTCATAATGCATATATAATTCCAGATTGGTGGTTACCTTGATGGTGAGGTCGGAAGGGAGGAACCAGGAGATGGAATTGTGGAGTGTGGCTCGTTTCTGGAAGCGACGTTTGGTGGATTCGAGAAGAAGCGAGAAGCGTTCGAGAGTACGATCGATGAGTTGATCTTGAACGGAGTCATCACTAGAGGAGAGAAGATTATCAAGTACTCGATCGAATGAGGATCTGATGGACAGAGATGGAGAATCCGGAAACGTAAGCAAGGAGGAGATTATCGAATCCATTTCGCTTTGACTGAAATCTGGAGAGTCGGAGAGACCGAGGGGACTAGGGTTAGGGTTTTCGCTGGAGGAAGAAACTGAAGGCAACATTGCAAAGGCCTTTTTTTGTTTGGCTCAGATTTTCCCAACTATCTTATTTATTATACTAACCGATCGATGATTTCTATGTATTATACAAAGTTTCTCAAAATTATGCCTAGATTTTTTCAACTATGGATAGTAATTTTTGATATCCTAATTAATTCTGCCAACCCATATCCGTTGTCAGTAGATCTTTTACCCAAATTAGACATGCCTAATTTTTTTTCACTATCAATCTCGTTGAGTTAATTTGTAGAAGTAAAACAAAATGTTTCCACGACATCTTTTGATCTGAATTTACAATTAATAGAGTCAAACAATATCACTTGGTAAACAATATCCTTTGCGTGAAGATGTAACACGACCGAGTTTATGGGATCACTTTTCTTCATCTGGCCGGTGCCTTCGTTTCTCCACCATCTTTTGGCGACTGCGTTGTTTCTCTTTCTTTGTCATCTCTTCCAAGATATTTCTCGCGTTAGGGTTGTTGTGTGAACTAGTTGTAAAGTCTGTGTCTTATTCATCAAAGTAAAGAAGTATTTATACAAAGAGAGTTTCTTATTCTTGATAATCGTATCTTAGGTAAAATATATTTACATACAGTATATCGTTAGCCTAATTAATACCTCCCTACGTTAAGTGGACAACAATCTCTCCAACATTGGTCTTTGTAGAGCCTTGGTGAAGTCGTGAAGAGATCAGTGACTTGGTTATTGGTAGAAATGTGTTTAGAAAATCAGATTGTGATTTCAAAATTTTCTTTCGATAACCCGTTGCACTCGTTGTAAAATCGTTTATTTTTTCTTTAAATATAATTTAACATTACATTAAAAAAAAAGTGTTTAGTTTTGAGTTTGTCTTGAACAGCGTTGCGCACTACTTGATGCAATCCGATTCCATGTGTTTAGTTCTCTCATGAAATGCCGGGTTTGCAGCTATATGAATAGCTGCCTGACTGTCGTAATGTAACTCAATAGGGTGTTGATTATCAAACTCCAATGTCTTCAGAAGTGGTTTTATCCATTTAAGTTCTTTAAGCGTATAAGCCATTGCGTGATACTCGGTTTCATGCTCCGTGTCTTGTTTCTTTGTTTTCCAATTTGTTGGGAGTATATTTGTCCTTACATTTTCATTAATGTGACATTATATTTTTCTGTCAAGCCATCTCAGAACAGGTAAAAGTCATCAATCAAATCCTCAAAGATTAATTATCCGTTTGAATCAGGACAGAAGGTGAATCTCTCAAAGTAGTCCTGCATCACATTTGGACATTCAATTTCTGAGGATAAGAGACAGTACAGCATCTCATTTACACTCTATGTCCTGTTTTAAGATTCCCACTACCATTTTCCAGAATATCACTGCTCTGATGGCATAGTTTTGGTGGAGACCTCAAGACATAAGGAAAGAAAAACATTGGAAATCTCAGGACAAGATCACTTTAACTAAGGCAGAAAATTGTTTTAGGATTTAGAAGGATTTAACACATCTTTATTAGGTAAAAAAAAACAAATTAAATATGTCCACGAAATGTCGAAATCTTTTGATCTGAATTTACAACCAAAACCACTAAATTTGATAGTGATTATTATTCATCTAGATTTAGCTAAAAACAAACAGATTTGGCTACAACTGTGACATCTGATCTTTGTTCTTTCAGCTTCGATAATATGTACCTACATCAGACGACACACACACACACACAACAACTGTGTCATTAGTACGCATAGTTGTGATATTATAAATGGTATAATAAACAAAATCAGAAACTAAAACTATCTACTTACTTTCCTACGATAATTTCCTTGCCTCCATCAGCAATAACTTCACTTGTTACGTCCTAATAGAGAAAATCAAGGAAGATGTTATGACGTGTGAGTGAAGTCATTTGCAAAAACAAATCAAGTTTAAAAGCATGGTAACTAGTTCAGTCTATATAACCTTTTGGGTCATACAATTTTTAAAAACTAGTGAAAGAAGACTAGCATAATACACATAGTTGAGAATAAAACATATCAACTTACAATTTGTCGAATGAATTTGAAATGTCCGTTGAGAAGTGAATCCAAAAAATACCCTATTTCTCTCTGGATATCAACATAAGTTTTCAGAAAATTAGGAGTTGTGTAATTAGGAATACAAGATGCAAAATTGATACTTAATTAATGTGTTTTATACTTACCCTCTCTAAGGAAGGACAGTCACGCAGTATTAGAGTCTTGATTGTACTGTCTCTGCAGCTAATTCTCAAATCCCTGAACATCAAAATATTCCTCATAAGAGATTTGATAATAAGATATTGTAATTAATGTTTGGTCATTACAAACCTCAAAAACCGACCGCTAATTCCAGGCGTTTTAGACAGATTCATGTAGGTAAGCTTAGGAAAACCCTGCAAAAACATTTCAATTTGTTAAGGGTTTTGTGAACCAATGATGGTACGCGGTACCAAGTGAAGAGAGAAGAAAAACACTAAAAGGAAGCCATACCTCAGCAAGATTTCGGGCTGTTTCTTCCTTTAGTCCAAAACCTACGAGCTTTAGCCAAGTTAAGCTGGGGCACGAGGTAACAAATGCCTCAACCGTTGAAGACGATAGGCCTGTCACACATTGTTAGAGCTTGAGCCTACCCGGGAGGGATTAGAGAGGAAAGTTCTACAGTGGAAAAAGTTTACCTGATGCAGGAATTAAGTCGATATTGTTCTGTAAGAATAAACGCTCTATTAGCAAGCGAGGATTTTTAGTGAGCGTCTTTAGTACTTGCTCTAGTATTTGTTTCCTGTCACTTAAACACCGAATAATGGAAAAAATTGTAATGTTCTAGAATAAAGCATAGACGATGGCACCTCATAAGATCAGTGAGATTTGGACAATCAGAGTCATGAAACAACTTACAAATTAGCAATCATAAGATCAGTGAGATTTGGACAGACTGATAACATAGCGCATAAGGACTTGGTTCCTGTCGATACGAGATTGTAAAGTTGTAGGCTTCTCAAGAGACCACTAGTTGAATGGAGAAAAGACAAATAATACCAATAAGAAGATCAAATTTGGAATCAGATTCAAACAATATCATGCTCTTGGTAATCAAGAAAAATACCCATTGAACCCATGATTACGAATTACTGAGGTGAGACAAGTGCTTGTGAACGAAGATCCTTTGCGTGAAGATATAACACGACCGAGTTTAAGGGATCTGCATGTACCACATGCAAGAGATAATCACAAACACAAAAGCAGAGAGAAGGTTCTAATTAATGTAAAAAGATTACACACCTGAGTTCTTTTCCAGCTTTGTGAATCATACTACACACAATTTCATCAAAAACGCGTTTGCCACCCATTTTCAAGTCAATGTGAGAGTAACATAAAGGGTCTATAGAACATTTGCGGAACATGGTGCAACATGCTGAAGCTTGCATCAGAGACTTTGTATCAAGCCCTGAAAACACCTGATTTTGTAAATACAATACATGAGACTTATCACTCACGAAATCATATCCTCACATATCGTTAATAAGACATATCACTTGTCCAAACACAAGATTGTAGTTCTCTTCATCTACCCCCAAAACAGAACACAGATCTTTAGATTGTCTCTAAAACATTGTAGTAATTTGAGAATCGATCAATCGCCTCCCAAGAAAAAAAAGAGAGCCCTAAAGCAACGTAGAAGTTCATTACCTTAATGGTGAGTTCTTCAGGGAGGGACCAAGAATTGTAATTGTAGTGAGTAGAGCGCATTCGAGAGAATCGTTTGGTGGATTCAAGAAGAAGAAATGCGAGTTTGTTAGTACGATCGATGAGACGATCACGAACGGAATCATCACCGGAAGCTTCAGAAGCAGAGTCGAGAACTTGACCTAGCACACGATCGAAGGAGCAACCAATAGAATTATAAGGCGAATCAGGTAACAAAAGGAAAGAGGAGATAGTCGAATCAAAGTCATTCTGGTTGAAATCTGGAGCTATAGCAACAGAATTAGGGCTTTGGATGGAGGAGAAATCATCACGGCACTGTCGCTTAGGGTTTGGAGTTTCCATAACGTTTATTGGCAACGAATTTGGCACGTGTTGCAGAGTATTTATATGTGCTATTGCTTTTAAATTTCTGGATTAATTATTGCTAAAAATACTTATAAAATTGGTTTGGATTTACTTTCGTTTTTTTTTTGATTCTCTAATTAATTTAATTAATGGTCAAACTTCAACTTTAAATCATACTTTACAAAGAAAAAGCAAAAAAAAAAAAAAAAAAACTTGAAATCATCAAAACTTTTCAATGTTATTTATATCCAAATAAAACCACAACGTCACTTTTTTGTTTTTTTTTCTAATTCGTTTAATAATTTCGTATGTTTGTGCAAAGTTCAAATCTCCCAACAAGAAGAATCTTAAGCAAAAGAAACGAATAACTTCTCGTGAAATAGTTCAATAACGAACACTAACGGATTACCAACACTAATCATAACAAATAATCGACATTAAAGCCCATGTCCTCATCTTCTGACTCATCCTCATCCGATGCATCGTCCGATTCCTCATCCGAGTCATCTTCGTCGTCCACTTCATCGTCCTCAGCTTCCATCATCTCTATCAGCCTCAACTCTTCTTCATCGCAGACACCATAAGGCTTTTCGGAACTGAAATTTTGCAGACACAAACTCATTTTTGAATTCAAGGACTTCGATAGCGTCAATCACATGATTATTTTTAAAGCCTATTTATTATAGTAAACCAAGAAGAAGATTAAAAAAAAACCTAGGCAATGGAGGAAAGTCCGCCACAAATGTGACATCTGATCTTTCTTCTTTCAGCCTCTCCAGAGGAAAGCTACAATTTATGGAAAATATAACACAGTGAGTCATTAGTACGATTCTAATTCATACGATGTTAACTATCTAAACAAGAAAATGTAGGATCAATCGGTTACTTTGGTTTGTTACATCTCTTGCCCCTGTCTGAAGATGCTAAGCCGCGGTTACTTGAAATATCCTATTAGAGTAATCCAAAAAGAAGACGATTAAGATTAAAACCAAGTTATACTTTTCATTTACAGAATTTGGCATAATCCGGTAAGAACTTACAATGTGCCTAATGGATTTGAAGCTCCCTGTGAGTAGTGAGTTGAACGGAGTCATCACTAGAGGAGAGAAGATTATCAAGTACTCGATCGAATGAGGATCTGATGGACAGAGATGGAGAATCCGGAAACGTAAGCAAGGAGGAGATTATCGAATCCATTTCGCTTTGACTGAAATCTGGAGAGTCGGAGAGACCGAGGGGACTAGGGTTAGGGTTTTCGCTGGAGGAAGAAACTGAAGGCAACATTGCAAAGGCCATTTTTTGTTTGGCTCAGATTTTCCCAACTATCTTATTTATTATACTAACCGATCGATGATTTCTATGTATTATACAAAGTTTCTCAAGATTATGCCTAGATTTTTTCAACTATGGATAGTAATTTTTGATATCCTAATTAATTCTGCCAACCCATATCCGTTGTCAGTAGATCTTTTACCCAAATTAGAGTAGACATGCCTAATTTTTTTTCACTATCAATCTCGTTGAGTTAATTTGTAGAAGTAAAACAAAATGTTTCCACGACATCTTTTGATCTGAATTTACAATCAGAGTAAAAAAATATCACTTAGTAATCAAGGAAAATACCCATTAAACCCATGATTAAGAATTTGTGAGATCTCATCTCATGAACGAAGATCCTTTGCGTGAAGATAAAAATCCTTTGCGTGAAGATAAAACACGACCTAGTTTACGGGATCTGCTGGTTGTACAAAAGGAAACCATAAGAGATGATTACATAAACACAAAAGCAGAAAAAATGTAAGAAATAGATATTGGGTGAGCATCGATATCATCCATGTCACTCGTGATACAGATCTTGGGTGTAGTTTATCCTCTCAGGATCCGATCAAATCATCTTTTGGTGACTGCGTTATTTCTCCTTCTTCGTCATCTCTTCCTAAAAATTTCTCGCGTTAGGGTTGTTGTGTGAACTAGTTGTAAAGTCTGTGTCTTATATATTAAAGAAGTATTTTATATAATTCCTATTCTTGATAGAATCGTATCTTATGTAAAATATATTTACATACAGTATATCTTTAGCCTAATACCCCCCTACATTGGTGGTACGAAATTCCGAACACCAAGCTGGACAATAACCTCTCCAACGTTGGTCTTGGTGAAGTCATCAAGAGATCAGTGACTTGGTTATTGGTAGAAATCTGTTTGGTATAGTTTTGAGTTTGTCTTGAACAGCGTCGCGCACTTGATGACAATCCGATTCCATGTCTTTAGTTCTCTCATGAAATACCGGGTTTGCAGCTATATGGATAGCTGCCTGACTGTCACAATGTAACTCAATAGGGTGTTGATGATCAAACTCCAATGTCTTTAGAAGTCATTTTATCCATTTAACTTCTTTAAGCGTATAAGCCATTAAGTGATCTTACTCGGCTTCAGCGCCAATGAGCATGAAACCGTGTCTTGTTTCTTTGTTCTCCAATTATTTGGGAGCATTTGTGTCCTTACATATTGATCAGTGTGACATTTTTATTTTCTGTCAAGCCATCCCAGAAGAGGTTAAAAGTCATGAATAAAATCCTCCAAGATTACCAGCTTGAATCAGGACAGAAGGTGAATCTCTCAAAGTCAAGCATCACATTTGGACATTCAATTTTTGAGGATATGAGACAGTAGCCTTAGCCTTAGCCTTCCCAACTTACACTCTATGTCCTGTTTTAAGATTCCCACTACCATTTTCCAGCAGATCACTGCTCTGATCATGGCATAGTTTTGGTGGAGACCTCAAGAGTACATAAGGAAAAGAAAACATTGGAAATCTTAGGACAAGATCACTTTAACTAAGGCAGATAATGAGAAAATTGTTTTAGGATTTAGAAGGATTTAACACATCTTTATTAGGTAAAAAAAAAAGCAAGTTAAATATTTCCACTGAATCTTTTGATATGAATTTACAACCAAAACCACTAAATTTGATAGTGATTATTATTCATCTAGATTTAGCTAAAAACAAACAGATTTGGCTACAATTGTGACATCTGATCTTTGTTCTTTCAGCTTCGATAAAATATACCTACATCACACACACACACACAACAATTGTGTCATTAGTACGCATAGTATTATAAATGGTATAATAAACAAAATCGGAAACTAAAACTATCTACTTACTTTCGTACGATAATTTCCCTGCCTCCATCAGCAATAACTTCACTTGTTACGTCCTAATAGAGAAAATTAAGGAAGATGTTATGACTTGTGAGTGAAGTCATTTGCAAACATAAATCAAGTTGAAAAGCATGGTAGTGAAGGAGATAGAAGACTAGCATAATACACATCGTTGAGGAAAAAAAAAATATCAACTTACAATATGTCGAATGAATTTGGTGTGCCCGTTGATAAGTGAATCCAAAAAATACCCTATTTCTCTCTGTATATCGACATATATTTTCAGAAACTTGGAAGTTGGGACATTAAGAGTACAAGATGCAAAATTGAAACATAATGTGTTTTACTCTTATCCTCTCTAAAGAAGGACAGTCACGCAGTATTAGAGTCTTGATTGTAGTGTTTCTGCAGCTAATTCTTAAATCCCTGAACATCAAAATATTCCTCATAAGAGATTTTGATAATTAATGTTTGGTCATTCAAAACAAACCTCAAAAACCGACCGCTAATTCCAGGCGTTCTAGACAGATATATTCATGTAGGTAAGCTTAGGAAGACCCTACAAAAACATTTCAATTTGTCAAGGGTTTTGTGAACCAATGATGGCAGTACCAAGTGAAGAGAGAAGAAAAACACTAAAAAGAAGCCATACCTCAGCAAGATTTCGGGCTGTTTCTTCCTTTAGTCCAAAACCTACGGAACAAATATAGTAAATTCCGATTATTTAACATTTTAATTAGGACATGAAAAAGAAGTTAGGTGTTGAACTTTCGTCTAGTCTTTGATGAGTTCTTGCATTTGTGTTATCTGTTGATCTTGAGAACATTTTTTGATACAGAACAAAATGTAGAATCTGTGACTAACTGATTCTCTTGTAATGCTCTTTACTAGTGGATTGATTCATCTTTGTATTTGGATCAAAATTTAACAGAAGCTGTCGAACTATGCCACGGGGAAGTTTCTGAAAGTGTACACAGGACATACCAACAAAGTGTTCTGTATCACATCAGCGTTTTCTGTAACGAATGGGAAGTACATTGTGAGTGGATCAGAGGACAATTGTGTGGATCTGTGGGATCTTCAACAGAGAAATATACTGCAGAGATTGGAAGGCCACATAGACGCAGTGATCTCAGTGAGTTGCCATCCGGTTCAGAACGAGATAGCTTCATCGGGAAATCATTTGGATAAAACTATCAGGATTTGGAAACAGGATGCTTGAGAATTTCTTAGAACATGAATATATATATGTAATGGAAATAACAATAGTTAAGAGTGTGAATCTTGACAGATTTGTTGTTTGATCTGAACACACTATTTTTGATGTTTTGGAATGGGATGAAAATCTCTTGCAAGTTGGTGTCATGTATTCATATTCTATGGTGTTATTATTTATGACATGAGATCATCTATGCTCTCTAAACTTAAGCTTTTTTTAATAAGAGCTACTAAACGGACCTACTAATTAATTAAAGGAAATCATCAAATTTAAAACAGATGTGGATATTTTTTTCAAGAAAAGACCATTATTATCCTAAAACGTCGTCGCCGTCACATGCAGATACTCAGCATGATTTGGCCTCTAGGATTAGGCAATAATGCAGAAAAGAAATATCTGTGCGGAAGAGACATACCAAGCCTTACTCCAAGATCAGAATCCATGAGCTAAAAAATCTGTGATTTACTCAGCTTCACCAGGCATACAGAGAGGAGGAGATCGAACCGATCTTCATGCACCAAAAAAGCATGGTCACTTTGGCTTTCATGATGTCACAGAACTGAGAAGATCAACCAAAAGATCCACTACAAGGAAGATGAGATGGGTGCATGTTATGGCTTGCAAGTACTTCTCTAGCTAACCTTTTCTCCTCTTGAGGATGAGAGTGAGGAGGGGATTTTCAAAGGATCTAGAGCCTAGAGTGACTGACTGAGCGGAATGGGGTTTATAATATAATGGACCTTTGTTGAGAATACTATAAAGAAGTTAATGGAATTATATATGCTTTGTCTGTGCTCATCAATGAATCAAATCCTCTCCAAGATTACCAGCTTGCATCAGGACAGAGAAGGTGAATCTCTCAAAGTCCAGCATCACATTTGGACATTCAATTTCTGAGGATATATAGAAGGATAATGTTTGAGAAGAATTTAACGTACATCTTTATTTGGAAACCATGCACACCATCTTTTTTTTTTTTTTTTTTGAATGAATGTTAAATTTATTCAACCAAAAAAGTCTTTTGTACAATGAATGCAACCTTAAATCGAATATTGTTTTGAAAGAATTCTAAGTATAAAACTAAGAACACTAGGTCCTAGATTCAAACCATAAGCGGAGTCCATCTTCGAGTTTGCGAGGATCCAAGAGACGGATTGAAGAGATTCTGTTGCGAATTATGCGATCAATAAACTTGATTATTTGGTCTGCAGCACTTGGTGATTCTCCATGTCTACGTTTGTTTCTTTCCAACCAAAGTGTATGAACAGTTGCTTGGAAAAGAATGCGTATAATGAAGCCAAGGGTACCTTTGATCGATGAATCTGATAGGAGAGATATGATCCCGGAGAAACTGTTAGTGAACCTTCTTTGAAGAAGTCGACTTGCCAGCCCCTCCCAGATCCGTGAAGAGAAAGCACATGAAAAGAAAATGTGCTCCTGAGTCTCCATCGGTGCTTGACAAAAAACACATGATGGGTTCACTCCCATATTCCAAGAGACCATACACTCACCAGTGGACAATCTGTTTTTTACCGCAAGCCATGTCAGGAAAGAGTGTTTCGGGATAGAATCCGAGAACCAAACACTCTTAACCCAACTTATTTTTTGACCTGCAGTTCGAATTTGTTGCCATGTTTCTGAGGTGGTAAACCGAGCTTTGAACTTGTTATCTGGTCTCCTCCACAAGGATACGTCCGGTTCAGAACAATGTCCCTGTTTCGAATTCGTTCAAGTTCCAGCTCTACCCGATTTAGAAAGTCCACACGATGATGCCTTGTTCTGTGATTTTGAAGAGCTGCAGCCACTGTTACTTCCGAGGAGATCCCAAAATCAATGAAACCTCTATCACCAAGAGTATCATGTAACCGACCTAGAGGGCACCAATGATCATACCAAAATGATGTTTGGAGCCCACTTTTTATCTCCATTGAGTGAAACTCCTTCGCCTGCGCTCTGTACTTAAGCAACTTCCTCCACATCCATGAACCCAAGGAAGTGGTGTCTTTGACAGACCAGAAGGAGCTAGACCGAATAAGCTCTCTTTGTATCCAGTTTACCCAAAGTGATTTTGAACCTGAAACGATCCGCCAGATGAGCTTAAAACAACTGACCTTATTCATCTCAACAACAGATTTTAGCCCCAAACCACCTTCATCCTTTGGCTTACAAACATCCTTCCAAATAACCTTATTTTTCCGAGAGTTAAGAGACGGGCCAGACCACAAAAATGCAGCACAAATTTTTTCGAGCTCTTTGACACAAGCAGAAGGCAATCGGAATGCAGCGATCCAGAAGTTTGTTAGACTTGCGATCACTGAGCGTAATAACTGCAATCTCCCCGCAAACGACAAAAATTTATTCTTCCATGAGTTGATACGTGCTCTGATTTTTCCAAGTAACGGAAGACAGTCAGAAAGTGTCATCCTCTTAGTCATCAGAGGCAGTCCCAAGTAGCGAACTGGTAAAGCTCCTGAATCAAAAGGAAAACGAGCTAGTATGTCCTCTCTGTTAGTCCCAGAAATACCGGCCAAAAACAGAGTTGATTTCTCCAGACTTATACTCAAACCTGAGATTTTTTGAAACTCCTTGAACACTGCAAGAATTCCTTCCATGGAAGCTGCTTTTCCATCCGTAAAAACCATTATATCGTCCGCAAAACAAAGATGTGTAAGTTTCATGTTTTTGCAGCGAGGATGAAATCCTAACGTCTTAGCCACCGCAGCTTTGTCAAGTAGAGATGATAAGACATTCATACATATGACAAAGAGATATGGAGAGAGAGAGCAGCCCTGCCTTAACCCTCTT